TACCACCTCAGCATAAAAGTATTACCACAAGAGTAAAGAAACCCATAACTATAAATTAGCAGTAACATCACTTAAAGAACTGTCTCATAAATGCTTATTTTTATCTCTGCATGTGGCTTACTATAAGGTAATTTCCCCATATAACTGAGCCCCCAAAGCAACCTTAACCCTTCCAGCAGCAGTCTGAAAAAAAACCTAACAGGATCTTATTTATTCCTTAAGACTTGCTTTTAATTAATTTACCAACAGTGTAGCTGTTTCTGGTCTGCTAGTATCATTTCCAGTTCTTCTATTTTTGCCACTTAATTTTGGAAACTCAAATGCAGTAGTGCAGGGATGGAAATGCTGTGGTCCATAAAAATTAATTAATTTTGTCAAGAAAGATCTAGAGGGAGTGCCAATACAATTTAAATGTCACAGGTAATAACTGAAGTTATATTTCTGTATTATTTCTTCAGTAAACTTTAATTTTTCAGTGGTTGGCTGATGCACCTGTCTGCAATGATTCACTTCAGCTATCCAACCATATATAAAGCTATTCTTAAATCCCCATGGACACTTGGTGCACAGCTGACCATTGCTGGGGAAGGCATGGGCCACAGGTAGCCCATTTCATCTGATCTCTTTCTGAAAGCTGCTGGTATGTGGGTACCTAAGGCTACTTACACTTAGACTGAGCTGCCCCAGGTATGACAAAAGGTGGTGCAGGCTAGTTTGTGGTCAAAATTTGCCTGTTACTTCCTGATGTTAGCTTAACCTGCTCTCACGCAGACTTTTGTGACTCCCAGCATAAGGAATGAGGAGACTTTTGAGGATCTGCAAGTGTGTTTGATTCCCCTAATGCTGCCGTGTAGTTTTAATCCTGCCATTATCTGTACTGGCACATGCCTTTTTCCTCCCAGAGCACTAGTTCTGAGGGCTAGCAATGCTGACACTGGCTGGAGGATTCACTCACTTTGCAGAAGGTTGTGGGAACTGCCCTGAACAGAGCGGTGCAGAGGCTGCCTCAAAGTTGAGCCTTGATACTCTTCAGCCCCATCTCTTGTGCAGTGTCTATATAGGTCAGATCCATTAGACACTTTCTTTCCTGTTCTCCTGGGCATTGGTGGCATCTCTGAAAGCCTCTGAAGCTTGGAGCTGCCAGTGCTTGCCCCCAGGCTGGGGATGTCTGAGCCGAGTTGGTCTCTCTGCAGTAAACTCAGGTGTAGGTGATTCATGCACGGGCAGCTGGGACTCATCTCATTCTCAGATGCTCTGGCAGTACCTGTGTTGGAGGTGACTGAATGTACATGAAGCAGAAATTAAAAAAAAAAAATAGTTTTCTTTATCTTTTCTTCCTTTTACTTGCAACTAACAAAGGAACTGCTCCACAAGCAGCAAGTGGTGGAACCACTGGAATTCAGTGCACATACACAGAACACTCCTGTGCATCTGTGGGGGTCAGGAGAGATGCCCCCCAGAGAGGGTTGCTCTCAGGGGTCCCATAATACAAGAAACGATCTATTGTAATGCAGATTTCCCCTTGTTCCTCAAAGGTGTTACAGGCAAGCCGTTCTTCACAGACTTTGCATAGAGCAGTATTTCAGCTGTCCCTGCTGGATTAAAATGTATGCCTTGACTAACAAGTGGCTGTGTGCTGAGAGTGTTATTTTGCAAAGCAATAATGGGCTGCGCTACTCACGGGAGGGGGAGAACTATAAAGCACCGTGAGAAGCTGTGACAGACCATGCATAGCAATCTCTTTGCTCTTCACAGCTCCCTGAGGACAATCCTGCCGGCAAACCAGAGGAAGGCAAGCCCCCCCTTCAGCAATTGCGAGATGAAACCGGCTCAAGAGTTAGCAGTGACGAAGGAAATTAGGTGGGTGCGCAAAAGAAAGGACAGGCCCTGCGTTATTGCTGTGACTAATAACAAAATTGCTGCAGGTTTTCACAGTTAAGCTGTTTTTCTTCTGACCTGTGGTAAGCTGGTTACTCCAACTAAGCGGCTTTAAGCCCTCAGATGTGAAAGAGATATGTGAGCAAAGCCTTGCTCACCCACCAATCAATGCAGAATTAAAGATAGAGCCACTTAGCGTAATCTTACCATCCCCTGTAATAATGATGGCTGGGAGGGCTCTGTTAGCCAAGGAGGGGCTAGGGGAAGGATGTCTGTGTCTGTGTGTGTACAAGGGACTTGATTACTAGAGCTTTGTGGTAGCCATTAAAGCCATATATTAGGTCAGGCTGTGCTTGGCAGTCTCTTAGGCAATTTTCAAAATCACTTCTGTACTGTTTTTGTCAGTAGCCATAATGTGTCTGTCCAGCTCATTTTCAGAGCCACTGCCTTCAGTTTTTCTTTTTTTGGTCACTGCACTTTTGTGACTTTTAGGGTCTCTTAGCAGTAGAAGTCACTGTCTGCTGTTCCTCCCACAAGAAGTGCCCCCCTTTGGTTCAAAATTACCAATGTCTTACCTTGGCAATTTCTGTCTTTGTCAACTGTTTCCTACATCCCTTAACTAGCTTTTCCTCAGTGTTTGGAATTCTCTCTCTCCTCCTCCTCTTACCTGTTTTTTCCTTTCATATGCGGGATGGCTACTTCAGTCTCTTCCAGGTCTCTGCAAACTCATCTCTCTAGACTGTCACAGAGGACTTGCTTGGAGGATGGCATTTTGGGCTACCACACAATTACCTAAGGTGCCATCTGACAATGAAGAGTCAATTCTCAGGTCGTGCTGAGGAGTGTGTTTCCAAGCTGAAGGCATAGTAGCTGACCATGCATGTTTGTAGTGCTTCAGGCACAGAGCTGTGTGTCTGACTGAGCGTGCCCCATGCTGACAGCTGCTGGATAAGCAGGACTGAGAAGGAATTTTGGGAAGCATTGTTTTAACTGTATGCTATTATTCTCAGAAGCTTCACATGCTGAAGCCTCACCTTAGCCCATCTACAAAAGGTGTATTTGCTCTTTAAACTCACACCATTAGGGAATGCGTGTTCCATGCAGAACACAGCAGGGATAAAAGTGACCAGTCTGCATTGTACCCATCCTGCAGGCTTCCAGTGCACAGTAGTGTTTCTTCACAACAGTGGAGCACTTACTTTTCTTACACCAAACCACAGCTTTCCAAGTTACAGTTCTCAAGCCAACAGTCCGTTTCAGCTTTATTTATACAAACAGAAAAAGATACAAAATTATAATATATATATATATATAAAGCACTGAAAAAAACCCCAACTATTTTAGTTCAGAAATAAGGATACTTTGTATGACCTTCAAGGTCATTTCCATATTGGAGCTGGAAGTTTTGCATGCATACAAATTGGAATCCAATCACTTAGTAGCTTCTCATTTCATGTAATAACAGTAATCAATAAGACTGAAGAATAGACTCATGACTTATTGCTCTAATGCTAATTCCACTTAAGTACAAAGTTTGAGTAAAGTTTGAGAAAGTTCTTGCCCTTAGCTCAGTGCTACCCCAAAATAGAAGCCAATCTCAGATCCTTTTAGTAAATTCAGAGGCTTAGAGACATCTACTTTGCAGCTGACAGAATCCCTGAAATCATCTTAAGTCAATCAGGAGGACCATGTCTCTGGCCAGGCAGCATTCAAGGTAAGTCTTATTTTCAACAGCCCATGGTGTCTCCTAGTAAGGGCTTCCAGAGGAAATCATGGCATTCTCATGGCAGGGGAGGAGGGGGGAATCTTATCATAAAGGGCTGGAGCTTCTACTTTGAAACAGCAGGAGATGTGCTTGTCTCCGGATGGACAGAGAGCTGAAGCCTCTGCCCTTACTTCTTCAGGAACAAATGGAGGGTAAAAGGAAGGCTGCTGTAGTTCTGAGCAGCAGATACATCAGAAATGCAGGCAATAAACTGAAGCCTGTCTCAGGGACTGAATTTCTTGTTGAAGGGGTAAGCTATACCAGACTTGGCTGAAGCTGCAGGAGTGATGCAGTAGGTCACTAAATGTGCCTCCCAACAGACTGAAATGTCTGCTGGGGGCATGGAACAAGTTTTGACATGTGTCCTTCTGCTTTGGGTGGAGGAAGCTGCTTTTGGAAGAAGTCCTCTCCAGAACTGGTGGCCTTTTACCATGCCTGGGGGGAATATCTAACTTTAGAAAGACTAAAGGTCTTCTGGCTGCTCTTCAACATCAGTTTATTACAGGTAATTTGATGTCACGGTATTGGACCATTCTGTTTTCTTCTAAAGGTCTTAAAAAGTTACTCCTAGGGTGTCTTCAGTATTGCAGGAGCTGATTGGTTGGACACCAGAGAATGAAGCAAACTGAACAAATTTACCATTCACCCAGACCTGGGTTATCTCCCTTCATAACAGAGCAATACAAGAGGCAGACTGAACAGTTCCCTTGAAGGTGGGACTTGCCCCATTATAAGGATAATATTTTATGCTTTAGCTCTAACATAAAGCAGAGAGCACTTAAAGCTGTAAGAGCATATTTGATTAAAAAGAAAAGCTGTCCCTTAAAAAAAGACCTACCTCCCTACTCCCTCTTTTTAAAGAAAGAAAAAAATACAGTCCTAAGATTACCAAAAAAGGGTGTTATTTTAAAGGCAAAATTTTAAATGAAGACATAAAAAAGAAAAAGCGGACTTTGCTACAGTAGATAGAAAAGTAACTTGAGGCAGAACTACTGCAGCCAATGAGAATACCAAAATGTTCTCACTTATATCAGAAAGCAATCAAGAACTGATGAGCATCATGCCCTTTATGGAGTAGTGTAAGTGGAGGGCACAGCCCTCCATGCTCCTAGACAGCAGCTGTGAAAGATTGGGCTTTTTGAATTCTCCAAAGTAGAAGAATTGTTTTTCTTCAGTATCTCAGAATAGCACCAAAACATTAAAACAATTTTCAACATATATAAAATACCTGTTCTGAGATGTGTGCTTCCAATGTATGGAGATGGTGTTTTACAAAAATAATTCAAAATGCTTAATAATTTCTCCCACCATTAGTGTTTCTGGTTCATTTTCTGCATTCGGAATCCAAAAGCAACTAAATGAGCTTCATTTTTTTTAACACAATGACTGAATTCTTGGTCTGGCACACCCGTCTGTAGATAGGATATGCAGTGTAGAAAAATCATAAACCTGCCTTAAAAATAATTGTTTGTATCATTCCTAAGTAGCAGCATACTTTTGCTCCCATTCAATTCCAACATGAGAATAGCAGTACAGGAACCCGAGAACAGTCAGTGTCGCCCATGGCCAACCTAAAAATAGAAAAGACAGACAATCCTAGTCAGAATAATTAATGATTACTTCAAGTAGAAATACTCTTGAGATGACCAACTTATGGTGCTTCTAATTAATTTTATTAGCAATTCAGTCTCATAAGGAAGTAGAGTCAACCCACAAAATTTGAAAATGGAAATCTGGATTGTCAAAGCTTCAGGGATGCCTGACCCACTGCCAGCTCCAGTATTTTCCGTTTTCAGGGAACTGGACTAGGTTTATTCCTGTCAAATTAAAAAAGTCTGTTTCAATCCTATCGTTTGGAGTGGGTTTGTCTATCAAGCAGATTCCCTGAATGAGCCCTGATGCTTTAAGCTGGCTGTGGTGCTTCCCAGCCACAAAGGGATGCACAGCCACAATGAAGGTTATTAAAAATATGAACAAGTCCAGTTACCAGTTCTGCAAAAGGAGTCTGGGGAAACCTCTGATTAGGGCTGTTTTATATCCTGCAGCTGGGTGTAAAGCCTAATGTATGCACTCTGCAGCCCACTAACAGCTAATGGGGTCAGAACACAATTGTGTCAGCGCAGAACAGACAGCCCTGTCTGCCTGATTTGCTTGATGCCTAGATTATCTTTTAACTAAAAGACTGACTCCTCCAATATATAAAACCTTTCCTGGAGAAATGACATTTCATTATTATTTCAATTTTTTTTTTAATTAAAGTCACCATCTTTTCACATGAACTTTTCACAGCTAACAGCAATAAGCAGGAGGTTACAAGTCAAAAGGTCTATTGCTTTCCTGTAGAGTTGTAAAAAATTTGAAAAACCAGTAATCAAGTAAATAATCTTGCTTTCCTTGATCCCTTTCCTGGCACCTCTGTTTCTTTGTTCATTCTCCTCCTCTCTTTAGAATTTATGAAATTTAGATCTCATATGTTGAAACTTTCAGCATTAGGCCTCAATGTTTTTTGGTGTGTGTTGTCTGTGAGAAAGGGACAGGGAGGAAGGTGTTTGAGGGTTTTTTGGTGGCTTATTGTTGATGTAAGAATTTTGGTAATATGTATGACTGGTTTTCTGCATGCTATCTTTGAACTACCAGCACTTGCTTCTGAAAGAAAAGCTTCAGTGCTCCTTCCTGGGGAAAACTCTGGCCTGAAGGAACCTGCTGGCAGAAGTAAGATTCCCATTTGGCCTGGAGAAGGTATGGAGAGAAGTTGTAACCTCTTCATGTGATACTCCAGGAAAAGCTCTTTCCAAAGCTATATTTACAACGTGTTTTGCAGGCTGGCTTTGTCCAGGCTTCAAGCTAATTCCAGTCTGGAGACTAGTTTAATTGTGCTCACATCTAGCTGAGCCTTAGCTTAACACCATGCCCTCAGCAGGGCTCACAGTGCCAGGCTGGGTCCTGCACTTCCAGGGACCGCATGTGCCAGGACCCTTCCTCTCTGCTCCAAGAGCCCAGGCAGTGTCACACTTCATCCTGGAACAGGTTCAGAAAGACTTGTTTTTTTCCCCCTGTGAACATCTGTGTGTTTGCTTCATGAAACTCCAATTGTTCTGGCCTTGCTTTGTGGTGAAATACAGTCTTGTAACCTGACTGATTTTCATGGACATATTTACAAATATAAATCCCTTGCCCTCACAATACCCTAAAGCAAAATTATATAATTATTTGTTTCACAAAACAAAATTGCTGAGGTATCTCCAAAGAGATTTTTAACAATGAAATCATCTTGTTTTTATTTCAGTGAAATTAGTCTACAGCAGATTGGGTTTCACCCTCAACAGCAAGCTAAAGCCCAGCTGTGCTTTGTCTCTGCTAAAATTGCACGTGAAAGTATGTCAATAGATGTAATAAAAACATACCTCTTCTGGCAGCAATATTGTGGGGGCTGCTTTATACAGACAGAGCCAGAAAATTAAAAAAGGACTGAGTGTAGAATTGTTCTTCTTTTGTAGGGGGCACTTTGGAAATTTGCTAGATACATGTTTTGCATTTTCAAATACTTTAAAGCTCTGGCACACAGAAAATGTGCCAACGGTAGTCTTTAGTCTGACTTGTTTGCTATCCCCAGCCAGTGTTATTAGAGATCTTGTCAGTATACATAAGTATGCACTGGAAATATTTTCTAGATGTCTTAGATTTATGATAAGATTCCTCCATAGTACCCAGAACCTGGGTTCATAGGGTTCTCAGCCACTATAATCATCAGGCCTGTGGTAATCTACTTGGAACGTGGGGAGTAACAGTAATAGGTGTCTGTGTGGCCTTCAGTACATCATCTCCTCCTGATTTAATGAAGATGAGAAGGAAGGGGGAAGACAAAGTGACTATACAGGTGAGGGGGAAAAAGGGAATTTTTTAAGTTTAATCTTGCTACAGTTATTCTAGGAGAGCTGCACAGATCCGAAAGCATTTCTTGCTGCACAGGTGGGAGGTAGCTCCAAGCAGGGGTAACAGGGCACCTGTGCCTTGCTGGCCCTTCCTTGCCATACTGGAACCACGAGCACTGCTGCTGGGTGGGGGGAAATGCATGTGGTGCTTCGGCTGCAAGCGAGCGAAGCAAAGGCATCGCATTCTGCTCCAAGGCAATCTCAAACTGGCTCCAGTCCATGCAAGGCAGATTTGCACAACTGCATCCACACCTGAGAAGCAGTCCAAGGACAGCCTGAAGCAAGAAGGGGATATTTAAACAGTTTTCACACATCTCTTCCATTTTAGGACTGGTTATACAATAAACGTGTTGAAAAGTCTGAAGAACTTGGTCCCCAGAAGGTGATGATGTAGGGAGGACACATGGATCAATGCTAATCCATCAGGGGCACAACTTTAAATTCTGCTTATGGTGTCATCCTTGTATGTGACCTCCATAATCAAAGCAGCATGGTCTGCTCTCTTGCAAGGTAAGTTCACAGGAACCTTGTTTCAATAGTTTCTCCTTGAGAACCCTTGTGAACAACCAAACAGTACTGATGGTCTCAGATCCGCAGTCCCAAGGACTCCCATTCTGCTCCTACTCTCAGATACCATTCAGGGGCTGTTTCTTCTGGTGGCTCCCCAGCTTTACCTGCATCCCTTTAGCTGTGCTGTAACAGTCTCCAAACTCTGCGTGGAAGAGTACCTGCCTGCATTTTAGATCAGTCATACATAAAACGTACTCTTAGAAACATTACTGAGTTCAAATCAAGCACTAGGCTGTTAAGAAATGACTGAATTTTGTCTATTCAAAAACATGTCACATACCACCTTAAATCTTCCAGTTTCTTGACTGGTTTCAGTAATTTGATTTTAGGCTTGAAGGCTAAGTTTCATAAGATAACTCAGATTTTCATAGTGTTTTGTTTGTGGGAAGATGAATTTGTATTCATTAACACATGCTTTTTGTAAATACAAGGACAAATTCATATGCTATTTGCAAATCCAGCAATATTTGTGAGCTTTATCTGCACAAATTTCTTTTAAGACAGGTGGATGTCCCTTTTAACAAAGGAATGCTGGGTGAGAATCATGACCAAATTCTCTGCTTATTGAGATGTATGCTGCTCCACAAAACATCAAACTCCTTTGTGAAGAGGATTGCAAATTGTGTGGAGAGATAACAGCAGTACTTTCTCCATCTATCACACAACCTTCTTCCAAAGAAGTCTTCAGTCTCAGCTAGGCATGAGGGACTCTTGTCCCACACAGGTGATGGACTGTCCAGAGGTCCTGCTGGTTAAAACCACATTTTGATACATTACATACTCAGTTTTTAGCCTAATGAAAGGAGATTTGTCTTCATTACATGATCAAGACAGAATTAATATGAACTTGCTGCAACAGGAACAGCTTTTGGAGTTACTTTTTCAACTTCCTCCAGAATGTTTCTGGATAGTTTGCAAACATCTAGAAAAGGTAATATTTCTGGCACACTCTGGATTTTAATGGGAGTGGGCCAAAACTAAGTTTTCAACTCAAAAATAATGGCTTGGATCACAGCTCTCAAAAGACCAGTTATGTCCTTATTGCCTCAGTTCAAATAATTTGAACCAACATTTAATCATGTATCCAGAAGGAAGCTCTTTCAAATTTCCTAATCATCTACAGTAATGAAAAACAATTACACCAGCAATGTTTTGGGCATACCCAGGTTTCATACTGTCATCAAGACACTAGGAAAGAGTCCTTTGTTCCTTCCAACCTGTGAGATGTAAGAGAAAGGGACAGTAGTTGCATTTTGCATTTTCCAAAATTGCCTTAGTGGCTTTTGGACCTTAATGCTATTTTTAGATGTGACTTGGCTGTACAGTACCCAGAAGTCTTCAAGTGCAGAGTAGTTATTAAATCAATTCAAGTCAGGAAAAGTAATCTCTCTGAAAAGCATGACTTCAGGAGCATACATCTTACTCTGACTTTGATTTGGAAGTGCCTAAGTTGCTGTAAGACTTAGCACTCAGGAAAATTTATCCTTAAACAAAAGTTCAAATGTGACAAGACATTGAAGCAACTCCTCTGTAGAGTGGAATTAAGGAGACATAATGGTGGGAAGGAGGAAGAATAAGCACTAGTTTGTCAAGCGTAATAAAAAGCCAAAGCAAACCAGTATTTGAGGCCAAGACATCTCTTACCTACAATTAGTAAAATCCTTAGAGAAGCAGTAAAACTACCACATTTTCCAAAAAAATAACACATTCAAACCCAAAGATCTGTTGAAAGAAACCTATTATTTAGCCCAACGTTTGAAGCAGACTATAAGCTCTGCATTTTAAAATTTTAATTTCATGTCTGTCACTTCCAGGTGGACCCCTCTGACCATTACAGCAGGGCATGTCCAACAGCACATATTACACTCACGGTGCAGTCTGATACCCAATTACTCTTTAAGTATTTGGAAAAAAAACCACCTTCCTGTTTTCAACTGTGTTGTAGCAAAGCCATAACCTGAACCATACCAGGGTTTTTTGCTGCTTTCGGCCTCCACATTGCACATGTAGCAAAGGACACACAATAAATTCTCACAGCCCTTGATGTCCCAGCTGGGCATCTCCATCCT